TACCCAATCTTCTTTTTTCTTGCCCTTGAATGTCAATGAGAGTTAAGCTTGATTTTTTTTAGTGATTATAGTAATGCAGTTAACAATTTTTATTTAATTAAATAATACACCAAAGAATATAGAATAATAACATGCAAAAAAGTAGACAAATTCACTTCTAAAAATTTTCCTGGCTTTCTAACTACGCGACAAGAGCCATTAGAAATTCATCCAAGTTAGTCGTTAACTTTCCCACGGGAACGATGTTGCTACTCAGAGTGACATTGACGGTTATCTGTTCAAAACACAATGTTATACAATACGCCATTTGATAGATGAAAACCTTGTCTTGCTACTGGTTACAGATAATATATAATGAAACGTAAGAGAGAACTATCAACCAATTGTGAAAGAGAGGATGTGACAGCTGGGTGTGGCAGGAGGGGTCTGATTTTCTCTTTGATAGCTCTATAACAAAAAATTAAAGATAATAAAAAATTATGGTCTGTCTGAGCAATAATGGTTTTATAGAGAGCATTTTGCGTTTAATTTTGTACTTTTCGAGGGGTGATGGATAAAATAGGGGTGATGACATGGTAAGACAAAATTTGTCGTGTGTTACACTAGTGGAAATTCATGATTTTTTTTATATATTTCCTTTTAGAATTAAGAACTTAAAACTTGTATACTATTAAAATATGGATTATTAACTTAGAGTTTATGCTATTCTAATTGGTATAACATAAACAAAAAGTAGTTTAATAAAATTTTGAATGTAAGACACTAAAACCTTTTGTCGTGCACAGTAAAGGGTACCCATGCCGATAGGATTAATCAGGTACCCCACTTATAGTAATAAATGATGTCTTCATGAGAACCTCCACTACATTGCTGTATTATCAAGATGTGGTATTTATTTTTCTACTTATCATGTTTACATGTATAACTTTCAACATATGTTAATCTTTGTGTTGTAATTTTATCAGTAAACCTATTTTTTTCTCTGAAAATTACTTCACTTATTTTGTTAACTGATTGTAAGCCAGGTTTTTTTTGGATGTTTGATAGGTGAAAGTGTACCTGAAACCAAGACTCCAGTTTCTAGGCAGGAAGACAATGAAGTTTACAGTCCACAGAACCATAAACGTCACACATTATTTTGTGGAACTCATGTCATACAAAGCAGGTACTATGGGCATGACCAGGTCCTGGGTGTTGTAATTAGGACAGGTAAACAGATGTATGCTCTTTTGAATAATGTGTTGTGAGATATGATTAAACAAACATCAAATGCAGTTCTATAAAACCATAAGGATTATTTATTTACTTAAAAAGACAAATTGATGCAGAAGTGAAATACCCCATTTAGCACTCAGGAAGGGCTGCTGAGAACAGAGCTCTAAACAAATCAGTTCTAAACAGGGTCATTTTAACATTGCATTGTCAAGGCATTGTTTTTTATCTGTGAATGATATATAAGTGCTTTATTTAGGTATCGTTAATTTAATATAAATTACTCACTATAATATCATCATCACTGGAAAAAAGCCAATTTTGATTAGCCTTCAATCTTGTTTGGCCACAAAGCCATCAAATAGAATATCGGACCCCTCTTACCATGCCCACCTGTCACATCCTCTTTGTCAATACAGTTAGTTCTCTCTTATGTTTATGACTATATTAGTTATAACCAATAAACAAGCAAGGTTTTCATTTATCAAATTAGGTATTATATTACATTGTTTTCTGTTCAGAAATATTTGTATATTGCTTCCTAAGAAAATGTTTTTTTCCCACAGGAATCATATTGCGTAGATGGATGTTTTAATGGTTCATATTGTGTTGCTAGAAACACAAGAAAAATTGTGATAGTTACAGGACATTGTCTGCTTTGTGCATGTTATTATTCTATGTTCTGTGTTGCATTATTTTATTGAATAAAAATTATTTAATGCACAACTTCCATTAGTACGAAAAAGTAGTGTACAGAGAGTTATAGATTTTCATAATTTGTTTTTCTCTCTTATGGAGACAAGAGCTCTATAACAAATCAGCTTAAAGTGGGGTTGTACTGTACATGTTTATTTTAAATAAGTTAATTGGCAGTCCTCTATAAAAGTAGAAAATACTTTGATTTTGTGATGAAGATCTGAATTAAGATTTTCTATAACCTTTAGCTAGGTGAAATGTTGTAAGATCTGTGTATTCTTACTGATGATTTCTTTGTTTTAAGCCTTATAACCCAATACTTACTTCAGATTTTAAGTGAGAACATTTATCTCTACAGGATTTTTGACAGCTAAGGGTGAACTAGTGAGGTCAATCCTTTTCCCCAAACCCCTGGGTTTCAAGTTCTACCAAGACTCCATGAAATTTATCCTGGTTCTCTTCTGTATTTCAGCTATTGGCATGGCATACTCTTTATACCTCTATATTCACAGACATGTATGTTGAAAGGATTTTCACACTTTTGTCAGAGATTATTTTGATGTATTTGTCTTAATGGAAATCATATTGGTATATAGTTGTTAAATATTTCATTATTTTTCTGGTTTTTATCAGTAGTTTTAAAGAGATTTTTTTATTCACAGCTTTCAGTTTTCAGCTGAGCTGTCTTGCATTTAATAAATATCAGCATGAAGTATAGAAAAATTCTGTTTATCATTTATTAAATAACAATTCTGTTTGTACTAATTCAAAACCATATATATATATATATATCTTTTGCTATAGATTGCTAACATTATCAGGAAGAATACTGTAACTGACAAGTCTAAGCATAAGGTTATTTTCCCTAGCTCTTCTTCTTCCCCACAGTTTAAGACATCTAGATCTAACTTAATGTAACCCTTGTCAAAGCTCAATATTGGATTGCTTGTTTATATTACCTTTGTAATGTGAAAGTTCTGTTCAAAGGCCAGATTAACATCTTGTATACTATATATTTTGTGCTTACTACTTTGCAAATTGCAGAGCCACCTATTTGAAAACTGGTTTTGAAATATGTAGATAACACTAAAGTAAATAATGTGGAAAAATTTAGTTTCTGATTTTTACCTAATGAACAGCCTAGTTTAGATATTAAGATTATAGTTTTCATAATAATCATAACCTTTCATTCATGAGCATGGATGGGAGACTTTGTGCCATATATCTTTCTTATACTAGTAATTTAATCACATTACTGTTTATCTCATAAAATATTGCAATTTCTTTGCTTGGTATTTGATATTTTGTATCATAAATTTAAAGAACAAATAAGAATGTGTGGTATGATTCTGTTGGTCTTTGTCTTTAGTTGTTTTGTGTTTTCAACCTTACACCTTAAGACCATGTGCAGTAAAGTTTAAATGGCTTGTATCTTTCTGTGCTTATGAGAATATTTGATGTAATTGATGAAGCAGTAAAATAAGATTTAGGTTGTACATATTATGGAAGCATAATTATAAGATTCAGTAAAGATAGTAAACTTTATAATCATCTTAATCATTTTGTTAGGCATCAGTTTCGAAAGCTATTCTTAGGGTGTTGGACATTGTTACTATAGTAGTGCCTCCAGCCTTACCAGCAGCCATGACAGTTGGAACAGTTTATGCCCAAAATAGACTTAAAAAAAGTGGTATTTTCTGTATCAGCCCTCCAAGGATCAACATTGGAGGAAAACTAAAGTTGATCTGTTTTGACAAGGTACTTAAATTTAATAGCACTGATAATTGACTAAAAAAAAACTCAACATTACCTTAAAAGTGAAACAAAATATTATTAATATTCATTCTCTGTAAAAGAGGTAGTTTTAATTCCAGAACAATTAAGAAGCAAGAAATGAAATAATACTGGTTAGTAGTGGTATCTTTTAAGTAAAAATATACATTGGAGAGAAATATGCTCATTGTCTCTAAAATCATTTGATTATAATAATTTGTGACTGATGTAAGACTCGTGGATATACTTGTATGAAGTCCAATGTATTGAAAACATAATTTGCTAAAAAAATTAATATTTTTAAAGAATTATAAAAAGATTTGTATTCAGTATCTATAAAAATCATTAAATAATAACTAAAGAAGCATTAATATAATTTTATTTGGTGACAATAAATATCACTATTAATACTCAAGAAATGTTATACATGATAATCATTCTTTTTTATCTATTGTGACATCACTGCTATGTAATTCTGAGGTGACATTGTTATCAGAAACAGTTGTGTTTTTGTGATTTTATTGATATTATTATACTGAAGAAGCATGTCATTAGAAGCTATGTATTTTATTTGTGTTGATGTGTGATGTCATTGTTTGATAAAACTTTTTAACCTCGTTAGTCAGTAACAGTAAAGAAACAGTTCTGATAAACAATGCATTACTACATGTGAAACATGACACAAAACCTGACATTATTACTTTCGTTACTTTTTTAAAATTCTCAACCACTTATCAATATTTTGAGTACACAAAGGTCTTACTCCTATCCTTACATTTTGCTTACACGTAATGTATTTGAAGAAATAATTACTATTATTTTTACATTTTCATCCAAACTTTTTCTTCTAGTTTTTTATTTCCTAATTTCTCATTTGACCAACTCTCTTGATTTTCTGTAGTCATCCAGATATCCCATCATTGTAGTGTATTTAAACTTCTTATATTTATAATTGTTTTCTCTGATTAAGCTCTCTACATCCTTTGTGAGCCATCCTTATTTGTCTATAAGGAATATGACTATTATGAATATTAAAGAATTAATTTTAAAAAACATTTCCACTTTTAAACAGTATCTCCAACTACTTCAGTTTCCCAATTTACAGTACATAATTCTTGTTTCATGTCTTCAAAACTTGTTTTTTTGAAATTTGGAATCAAAATCTACTTAAGCAATAACTGCTTGTACTCAGGTGTTCCCCAGTCTCCACCTTGCCAACTATTTCCATATTACAAGTTAACAATAAATCTAAGATCAGTCTCACCCTGTCAACTATTTCCATATTATAAGTTAACAATAAATCTAAGATCAGTCTCCACCCTGTCAACTATTTCATATTACAAGTTAACAATAAATCTAAGATCAGTCTCCACCCTGTCAACTATTTCCATATTACAAGTTAACAATAAATCTAAGATCAGTCTCCACCCTGTCAACTATTTCCATATTACAAGTTAACAATAAATCTAAGATCAGTCTCCACCCTGTCAACTATTTCCATATTACAAGTTAACAATAAATCTAAGATCAGTCTCCACCCTGTCAACTATTTCCATATTACAAGTTAACAATAAATCTAAGATCAGTCTCCACCCTGTCAACTATTTCCATATTACAAGTTAACAATAAATCTAAGATCAGTCTCCACCCTGTCAACTATTTCCATATTACAAGTTAACAATAAATCTAAGATAACATTCTTCCTAGTAGGTTCCATAACCAGTTGTTGAAAAAGAATTATTTTGAACAGTTTTTAAAAACTTGTCTTCTCCCTTACGACTTGACTTTTAATATTTCCCAACATGTGTGCCTGAAATTAAAATCTCCCATAATTATTACCTCATTTATAGTTTAATTCTTTATCTCACTCTAGAGTTTCATTTGGTGGTCTGTAACAAATTCCAACTAAAAGTTTTCTCCCCTTATAACCACCAACAGAAACCCAAATAGGTTCAACCTTATTGCTGTTAGCTTTGATATTCTCAACTTAAGTGGGCTGTAACTTACAGTTTACATATAAAGCCAATTCCCCGCCCCACCCTTTTAATACTCTGTTACTATTAAACAACTCATAACCCCATATTTCAAAGAAATTCCTTTCATCATAAATGTTTACATTTAACAAGGTTTCAATTATTCCCATTATATAAAAATCCTCTGTTCCTACCAGTACTTGTCCCCCAGTTGGACAGTGGTACATTTACAGACTTACAACACTAAAATCCAGGGTTAAATTTGCCATGGTGGACACAGTAGACAGCCAAATATAGCTCTGCTCTAAAACAAATAAATTGACCAATGCTCTAAAGTCATCCATTTTATTTCTTATACTTTTGGCATTACAATAATAACAGTTTAGCCTACCATTAATGCTAATTTATACCTCGTTCCTACACTATAGCTCTCTCTGTATCTTATTTTCTCTTATTTATTCTGACCTTCTACACTGTCTTATATTAGTTTAAGTTTGTCCTTTGAAACAAGTCAGCACCTACTCTATTTAAATGTAAACCATCCATTCCAAATATCTCCCTTTTCCCATTGAACAGATTCCACAAATTGAACCAGCTAACCTGCTCTTCCTTAGGTATTAACCTAAGCTGAGAATTCAACCTTAGTGAGGTACTTATATTTCCTCCCTACAGATAAGTCATTGCAATATCCCTGACAAAATTAAGTTATTATAGACTTTTTCTTTGAATGCCTTGTACATAACAAAAGGTTCTCTGACCTACCCTTTCGTACATCATTAGCCACTGTGTGCACTACAAAAACAGTATCATTGCTCTCAACCTTTACTATATCACTACTTTTGTCAGTTATATCTTCCATCCCAGCCACTAGATGGCATAATCTAGCTCTTTTTTTTCTTCCTATTTACCCCACAAACTATCTTATCCATGTGCTGTATGAAAGAATCCCCTATAACAATAACATCCTCATCTTTTTCATTCCCATTCCTGTATGTCCCTTTTTTATCTTTTGCTCCTCAAGTTCATCACCTACACAAGCCAAAGGCTGAAATCTGTTCTTTACCAGACTCTATTCTTTATAATTACATCTATCATTACTAGCCATGTTATAACTGTTCTTTACCAGACTTTACAGAATCTGGTAAAGAACAGTTATAAGAGGACTAGTAGTAATAGATGTAATTATAAAGAATTTCTTTATAATTACATC